TCATCTCTGGATACTTACCTGAATGGGTAATTCAGAGGCTATCTCTGGTCCCTTTCCCCTTTTCCAGTCTTTGGCTCCCTCCTACAGACCCCTTAATAATTAATCTTCTTGTTATGCCCCAATAGCATTCTGTGGCTTTCAGGAAGACAATAATTGCTGATTTAACCAGAGATCAAAGTCTTAATAACCAAACTAATCCAAAGCAAGCCAACCAAACCAAACAAAAAAGTTGTCCTTCTCATTGATGGAAGGTAGAAAAGATGTGGGCATTTAGAAACATAATATAAAGTCTATATAAAATGAAATTTAGTTGATTTTTCTATTTAAGAAAAAATTTTTTAAAGATTGGAAGAACAAATGTTCTTTAGAAATGGAAATGATCTCCAATAGAGGGTTGTGAATAAGTCTCCAAACATTTCAATTAAGTCTTCAAACATTTTTACTCATGCACATGAGATGCTATCTACCCTCCTACGTATTTTTCAATTGTCACTTAAAAATTTTCATCATAAGTTTAAGTATTTGCAAAGGATGCAATTTTCCACATAATGTAAAAATTTACATTTTCAAATAAAACAGTCATGCTTTTAAATGAATCCAATGAAATCTAAATATCATGGCAGTTATGCTTACCATCAACCATTTAAAAAATATATGAACAAATTATTCTTTACCTATAGGATATTTTACTTTTACATAATTTATTTTCTGTTCGCATTTATAATTCCATTCCACATCCCATCCCTCAGGAATATATCCTAATTAATGTACTTTTATGTTTGAAATGTTTTTTGTTTTTGTTTTTGAGACAGTATCTCTGTTACCCAGGCAGGAGTGCAATGGTGTGATCACAGCTCACTGAAGCCTCAACCTCCCAGGCTCAAGTGATCCTCCCACCTCAGCCTCTGGAGTAGCTGGGACTGCAAGCATGTACTTCCATGCTTGGCTAATTTTTAAGTTTTTTGTAGAGACAGGGTCTCACTCTGTTGCCCAGCCTGGTCTTGAACTTCTGGGCTCAAGAAATCCTCCTGCCTGGTCCTCCCAAAATGCTGGGATTACAGGCGTGAGCCACTATGCCTAGCCGAATGTGTTTTATGAATTCCTCTATTATATTCTCTGCAATTAAAATACATATAAAGGCCAAGCACAGTGGCTCACGCCTGTTAACCCAGCATTTTGGGAGACCAAGGTGGACGGATCACCTGAGGTCAGGCATTCAAGACCAGCCTTGCCAACATGGTGAAACCCCGTCTCTACTAAAAAATACAAAAATTAACTGGGCATGGTGGCAGGCACCTGTAATCCCAGCTACTCAGGAGGCTGAGGCAGGGAGAATTGCTTGAACCCGGGAGGCAGAGGTTGTAGTGAGCTGTGATCATGCCATTGCACTCCAGCCTGGGTGACAACAGGGAAAACTCCACCTCACAAAAAAAAAAAACTATATATATACATACACACACACACACACACAAATATATACATATATATACACATATATATACATATATAAAGAAAATACATATAAGTTGAAATTTTAAGTTTCTTATGACTAAAAACTGTAAGTGCTCATTTTCTTCTAGATTGAGGCATCATTGTATTTATTAGTAATTCTCAAGTGTTCAAAACAATACAAATTTTTTGATTATTAAATGTGATGTTTTACAATTAAGTGCACGCATTTATTGTTAAATACTACTTCTTACTAGAATGAGACAGAGTTCAGATTCAATGTTTTCTCAATTTTTCATTTTTATAAATTCTGAGAAAATGTTTTCACATTAATAAGTAGATGGAGACTGGGTGTAGTGGCACACATGTGTAGTCCCAGCACTTTGGGAGTGGGAGGCAGGTGGATTGCTTGAGTTCAGGAGTTCGACACCTGCCTGGGCAACATGGTGAAATGCTGTCTTTACAAAAAAAAGATAAAGATTGCCAGGTGTGGTAGCACATGCCTATTGTCCCAGCTACTTGGGAGGCTGAGGCTGAGATGGGAGGATCACTTGAGCCCAGGAGGTTGAGGCTACAGCGAGTTGAGATTGTGCCACTGTACTCCAGCCTGGGCAACAGATAGAGACCCTGTCTAAAAAAAAAAAAAAAAAAGTAGTTGGGTCTATAAGGAGTTTTGTCATTATATCAATGTCACTTAATTCTTTGAACTCCTTCTAATTGATATCAGTGATCTTTAGGTAATACTTAGTTCAAAGCAATTATTTGGAAATCATCTGACTTGCAAAAGAATTTGTTACCCAGTCATTAAAAGTATACACTTTCTAATATAGCCCAGTGTTTTAAATATATAAAGAATTGGCAAAGATTGCTGAAGCTTTTACAACCCAGAGCAATGCCTGTACAATTCTCAAATGTCTTTCCTTTTACAAATTGGGAAATACACAGCTATTGTGAAAGAGTTGGGAAATGAGACACCTTGACCACATTCCTTTACCAGCAGATCAACTTTAGGAAAGAACATAGGTGTAAATTGAAGATTCAGAAACTGGTAGCCTTTTTTTTTTTTTTTTTTTAAATTGTCAGAGTTTCTTTCTGTGGCCCAGGCTGCAGTGCAGTGGTGTGATCATGGCTCACTACAGCCTTGATCTCTCCAGCTCATCTCAGGTGATCCTGCCACCTCAGCCTCTTGCATGCCATGCCCCACTAATTTCATGTGTGTGTGTGTGTGTGCGCACGTGCATGTGTGTGTGGAGTTGGGATTTCACCATGTTGTCCAGGCTGGTCTCTAACTCTTGGGTTCAAGCAATCTGCCTGTCTCAGCCTCCCAAAGTTCTGGGATTACAGGAGTGAGCCACAGCAGAAACTGGTAGCCTTTAAACTAAGTGTCCATCTATCCCTTAACAATCCCATGGGGGATACAGAGCTCAGTTTGAAGATGGCTGATGTGAATGTTTACATCTTATTGAATTAGATGAGAGAGACAGGTCAGCTCAGATTAGGCCTTGGTTGGGACACTGTACACTGGTATCTGTACCCTGGGGGAGAGTATAGAACTGTGACATATGCTGGGGATAAAACAGCCAGTCCTCTTGGTTGGTTAATTTTTATGGATGGTCGATCTTATCCTTTATACTCTGTTCTTTTATATTTTTTTCTCAGTGGCAATTACCTTAACTTTGGTTTTGGGAATCTGATGTTGAGTGTAGTCTGATATTGACTACCTAAGGGAAACACTATGCTAGACTTAAAAATTAAGACTGTAAAAACATAAGAAATGTTTAGAGTATAGAAAGGAAAAGCAAAATATATAGTTGTATGAAAATTATTTCAATTGTGCAAAACTACATAAACTTCTGAACACTACAATATACAAAAATAAAGTTGTGATTTTTTAATAAATGTTTTTCATTATGACTTCTAACATAATGTTATTGATTACATATGCTGAGGGTCAGACTGCCTACTGTAATATTCTATTTCTCCTAGTGGTACTAAAGAATTATGCGAGCTTAATTAAGTTCCCTCAAACAAAGTGATTGAAGGTCCACTTCACTCTTGAAGGTCCATTTTCAAAAATTCTGTTTTCTCATCAGGATTCATTATGGGCGTTATTCCCCAAACACATTTAAACTTTTTAATCCTAGTTTAATGCAACCTAGGACTTAGCATCACAAATTCCAGAGATTTATCAACTACTGTATGAAGAAGTAATTCTTTTCATTCATATATATAACCTTTTTAGCTTTATTTCCCGGTTTTATTATTCAGAGCTCAAGAACTTGATCTCATTGACTTTACATTGCTCTTAAGGTTTACCATTTCTCGTGGCCTTTATATTTTTTAGAGGCTACTTTAAAAAGAGAGTCACGTTTGGCAGCCTCCAAAACTAATCTCATTTCTGAAACTTTGGTTTCCTCTGTGTGTGTTCCGAGGTGTAATTATGAGCTTGGTAATTTCCAGGGCCCACTGTAGGGGTCTGCGTGTTTCCTAAACAAAGGAATGAACACACAAGACAACACAAGACAAGACAAACATGGCGGCCGCCTCGAATGGCATGCTCTGCTTTATTTTATACAGTTGTTTGTGGAATGTTACCAAGTCACAAGACACATTGTTGTTTTTCTGACCTTTCCCTGACTTCCTTTGCAAGAGCAGGACTTATGGGGAACACCCTGCTTCCTTTGCAAGAGCAGGACTTATGGGTCAGGAACACCCTGTTTGGGAGCACGTAGTCCTCTACAGCCCACCAAAGTAAGGACAGAAGACTAGTGGAAGAGCCTTCATGTGTGTGAGGGTAATACTGGTCCCCGCCCAAATTTGAATTTTAGCTCCCATGATTCCCATGTGTTGTGGGAAGGACCTGGTGGGAGATAATTGAATCAAGAAGGCTGTTTCCCCCATACGGCTCTGGTGGTAGTGAGTCTCATGAGAGCTGATTGTCTTATAAGAGGTTTCCCTTTTTGCTTGGCTCTGATTTTCTCTCTTGCCTGCTGCCATGTAAGACGTGCCTTTCCCCTTCTGGCTTGATTGTGAGGCCTCCCCAGCCGCACAGAACTCTGAGTCCATTAAAGCTTTTTTTCTTTATAAATTACCCAATCTCGGGTATGTCTTTACCAGCAGCGTGAAAACGGACTAATACACTTCCCTTCTGGGGGCTCTGAGATGGGATCGAAAGATTCCCTAAGGGAGCACCCCGAAAATCCGAGTGGAGAGGAGCCAGCGAGACCTCAGAACTCCAGCTGCCTCAGGCCGCTTTGATGGGCGCAGATCCGCCCCCTCGCAGCGCCCCGCCCCCCGGCACGTTGCACGCAGGCACGTCCTTCCAGCAGCTCACGGCCCCGCCCCCGCCCCGTCGCCCCGCCCCGGCCGCAACGACCCGCCCCGCCCCTAGGCGGTTGCTGGCAGCGGCCGCCGCCCTCCCCCGGCCCAATGGCGTGGCTGCACAGTCAGTGATGTGAAGCTCTGCTCAGGCTTGTCCGGCCCCCGGCTCGCAGCCCATTACACCATCCGTCGCAGCAGTAGCTGCAGCCGCTGCAGCCCGAGCTGACTGAGAGGGCGGGAGGCAGCTCGGGTGGCGGGGCGGGGCGAACAGCGCGGCCGGATTCATTCCTGTGGGGCGCGGGGCATGGAGGAGCTGTGCGGCCGCAGGCGGAGCAGGGCGGCCCGGGCGGCGGCGGGGACAACGGTTTCCCTTTGAAGGGGACGGCCAGAGCCCGAGTGACCAGCGGCGGCGGGGAGGACTAGTCTCCGGGCAGGTAGTGGCGGCGGCGGCGGCCTGCCAGGGCTCGGGCCGGGGCCTGAGATACCCGCGGAAGGCCTGGGCGGGAAGGAGGGCGCCGGGGGAGCCGAAGGCGGGCAGCGGGCTGGAGGCCACAGGCTTGGCCCATCGGGAGGGGGTTGTGGTCAACGGAGGAGATTGGGGAGGGGGCTGCCGTTGTCTAGAATAGGGAGAGGAGAAGGTTGTGTTGGGGCGACTGTGGTTTGAGGAACCTGCGGATCATCCCTTGGCGGGGGGTGAGGGGTGATCAAAACGGGGCGGGCGAAGTTAATGACTAAAAAGCAGGCGGATTTCCTGAGAGCCGTGAGTAGTTTTAAAAGAAAGAGAATCTTTCGGGGCAGAGTTTTGGCCTTAGCCGAGGTTTGGTGTATCCGGCCTTTTTGTACCTTCTCGAAACCCGGCCTCAGTGAGGCCTTCCAGCCTGGCGCCCTTGGCCAGCTCGCCTGCAGTTGCAAGAAAGAGAAACATTTCTGAACCCGAGTCTCCTGCCTCTTGCGGTTGTACGCTCCCTGGGCGTGTGCAAAGCAAAACTAGAACAAAGCTTGGCTGGTTAGAGCTGGAGGCGAAAAAACGGGCTGCCTGTAGTGTTTAAATTTTCCACACATAGAGGAGGCTGCCTGCGACCAGAACATTTGGGTCTCGGTGTGCCCTTCTGTATTTTTCTTTACCACCTTTTCTTTGGGGGTGGGAGGTGGGGTGTGGTACGGAGTAGTGCCTGAAGTATAGGTTTTATTCCTTTCTTCCTACAGAAGTGGAAATTAAGAAGTGTTTTGCCTTCTTCTATAGAAAATTAAATGCTGCTACTTTTTTTTTTCTTTCTCTAGTTTGGTGCCCTGGTTGTCAGATGTTGGAAAGCAGTAGGACGGAACATACTGTGTGTGTTTGTGTATCCGTTCTGGGGTGCAGCAATTAACATTGAACTTTGGTTCCTGTGCCTCTTGCCTGTGTCGATAGAGTTAAACTGGAGCTCTACTTCGAAAGATAAATAAAGTACAGCCTCTCAACTGGACATAAATGGATCTAAAGACAGCAGTATTTAACGCAGCTCGGGATGGCAAACTCCGGCTTCTCACCAAATTGTTGGCAAGCAAATCCAAAGAGGAGGTTTCCTCCTTGATCTCTGAAAAAACAAATGGGGCCACGCCACTCTTGATGGCCGCCAGGTATGGGCACCTTGACATGGTAGAATTCCTCCTAGAGCAGTGCAGTGCCTCCATAGAAGTTGGGGGCTCCGTCAATTTTGATGGCGAAACCATTGAGGGGGCTCCCCCTTTATGGGCCGCTTCTGCAGCAGGACATCTGAAGGTGGTCCAGTCCTTGTTAAATCATGGAGCATCTGTCAACAACACGACTTTAACCAATTCAACTCCTCTTCGAGCTGCGTGTTTTGATGGCCATTTGGAAATAGTGAAGTACCTCGTAGAACACAAAGCTGATTTGGAAGTGTCAAACCGACATGGGCATACGTGCTTGATGATTTCATGTTACAAAGGACATAAAGAGATTGCTCAGTATTTACTTGAAAAGGGGGCAGATGTTAATAGAAAAAGTGTTAAAGGTGAGTTCAGCTTCTTTGTTTTTCTCAGCGTTTACCACTTATTTTCAGGAAGTTTGATACATAATTATAAGCACTGGTGTTGAGTAAACCCACATCGACAGACCTGTTTTGATTAGGTAAGTCTTCCAGTATGACTTTGTTGAGTGTTTCTCTGATGTTTGGTAATACATTGAAAAAATGTGATAAAAGACTTCTGTTACTCTGTTAAGCAGTATTTTCTCTCTTATTTGGAGTAACTTAAAATTCTTGGGAAATGGGTTTCCCCGAAGTTACAGATCATGTTAGTAGTAGCCGTTCTGAGCCTTTAGGCTTATACTTAATCTACTTGGGAATATGGTTAAGTGTAATACGTTTTTCTTAGCTTTTTGTTGTCTTGTTTTTTTGTTTTTTAGAACAACCTTGGAGTAGAAACTACTGTAGTTATTGAGTCATGGTCTTGTTTGTTCTAGGTAGTCATTTCACTTCTGACAGAGAAGGCTAGGCCAAACTGACCTGGAAGGATTATTATCAGTGGAAAGGAGAAAATCTGTTCCTTTATTCTATATTTGTTTGTAGTCAATAGATAATCCTTTTATAAGAACATGCATTAAATATAGCAAGACAGAAAACACATTTTTAAAACTGCTTCAATACTGAGTGTGAAAAACAAGGACTAGATTAAACAGATGTGGATTTGTTGGCTAGCAACAGTGTAAACACCTTTGTCCAGAAGAAGGGCTCCGGTTTGTGACTGTATAATTTTTGTTGATTGTAATAAACTAAAAGCAGGGAAAAGTAGTTCAGAATTTTTCTTAACCCTTAAAAGCAACTGTCTTGATAGCATAATTTTGATACATGAAAACCTTAACTTTCCTTACACCAGTCTATTTATACGACAGCAAAATAATCCACTACCTAATTTTTAAAAGCTATTAAAATTTAAAAGTAGCATATAGACATGTTAAAAAAAATCAAACAGTGTAAATTGGTTTACATTGTTGGTTTACGTTTGAATAAAAAGTTTTATTCCTGATTTCTAGATGTCTAAGGCGCTGACAACCACTATTTACAGTTTTTTATGTGTCCTTTTAGAGCTGGTCTATGCAAATACAAGCATACTTGTCTATGTACAAGCATACCTGTTTGTGTAGCCTTCCGTCTAGTGGTTGATTACATACTTTTCTATCTTTATTTATTTTTCTAACCTTGGATGTCATTCAACTCGAACACACATACCTACCTCATTCTGTTTCATGGCTATACAGTATTTCATTGTATGAATGTACATAATTTATCTAGTCTATTGGTTGATATTTAGGTCACATCCAGTACTTTACTAATATAAACAATGCTGCTGTGAACATTCTTGAACAAAAATGTGTCTTAGGTTCTTTTCTCACTTGTGTGAGAATAAACTGTAGTATAAATACCTGTGTTTAGAATTGCTAAATCAAATGTAAATGTATGTACATTTGCAATTGTGATAGTGTCTGCCTTTCAGAAAGGTTAAACCACACAATTACGGGGCACTGTATAGTTACTGAGCATATTTACTGTAGATAGTGTGATCTTTTATAAAAATGATACAAGATCATTGTGATTTTTCTGAATTTTTTTCCCAGAGGAAGTGTAAAAATCCCACAAAATCCCAGTACTCAGGGATAATACTTCCAAAGATACTTCTGAATTTTGTGTACCGATGTATGTATGCAGTTTTATATGCTGTTCTATAACCTGTTTTTAGCTTAATAAGTGTTTAACATTACCAATTATAGCTCTTTAATTTCAATAGCTGCACACTCTTCTACTAATGGAGTTTTATGTTGCTTCCAGTTTTTCAGTATGATAAAAAATGTTTCTGTAAACATTCTTTCTAATAAGTGTTTTCATTTGTTCCTGATTATCTTTAGAGGTGGCTTGGTAGATCAAATGACAGCATGGGTTTTTTTTTTTTTTTCTCCAAACAATTATTCTTTTGAAGAATGCTTGTTTTAAGACAACAAATTACTGCTGAACTAACCACGTTTGAAATCATGGCTGCTTGTTTAGGTTTGTTGAATTTTTTGTTTCTTTGTTTTGGGCTTTTTATTCATCAACTTGATGTAGAGATTATTGATAAACTCATATTTAAATCAAATTGGGATATGTTTTAAACTCCTATGCTGTTGGAGAGATGAGAACTGGTATTACTTCCCTTATATTTTTCAAAGCTTTATATACTTATGGAGATATAATATATGAGATAACTCTAATATAAATAGCTCATATTTTTTCAGCATTTTCTCCTGAGAAGCTGCGAACAGTATTTAACTTGATTACCTTTGAGCTCTTTCAAAAGAATGTTCCTTTTATCACCACTGTCATCTTTTAGCCTTATATGTGAGGGTATGTATGTTCTCTCTTTTGACCAAACTAATTCTAAGTCATTTTTCCCCCCAGTGTTAATATCTAATATGTATGTCTTTTAAAAAACCACATATAACATGAGAAAACAATTTCATCCCAAAAATTGTTTTCTAGTAACCTCAACTTTTTACACATACACATGCATATAGATATTGTCACTTTATGTGCAGAATTTTTACCTTTTCATGGTATCTTTTAATTTACATAGTGATTCTTCATGAATGTTGGGGGCAGATTAAAGTACATGTGCATCCTTCTCCACTCTGATCCTGAAGCCTCGCTACTCATTCTCTCATTGGTTTTGGATTTTTTCCTATGGGTTAATGGTAACAAAAACAGGAACCAATTGGAACTAAGGCAGGGACACTGGAGAAGGATGTGATATAGTGGCAAGAGAGGATTTTCCCCCACTTTTTTAGCCCCATTCAAAAAGTAGAAAAGATTAATAAAACTAGAGTTAAAATAGAATAATTCCTTAGGACACTTTGTGTGTCATTCACTGGAAATGGTTCTGAGGAAAGAAAATGTCAATACATTGTGCTTGGTCTGCTTAAAGATAAAATGCATGTGACTTCTACATTCCATTACTTTTAAACAGGCGTTGATATTTGAACATATTATTTAACCTCTTTTCATTACTTTTTAACAGGCTGTTGGCATTTTGAACATGTTTTAACCTAAGGTGGAATTCACTAATTGAGAGAGCAGTAGTTGAGTCCCTCAGTGTGCCAGGCTGTTAGACTTAGGATATACAAAGAGGAATAAGACAAGATATCCAGTCCTTGATTCCCTGCTCTTGAGGAGCTCATGGTTTGATTGGAGAGACAGGTTCATAAGCAGATACTTAAACCACAGTATGGTAAGTGCAACAGTTGTGCTTTCTTCTATTAGATATTTGGAAATACCTTATCCCCAGCAACTTATAACCTGAGGGGACAATGGGTTTCTTTTCCCATGGCATTCCAAAAGGGGAGAAAATCTTTGATATATTTAGGAATACCTCTTCAGTTTAACAGTCATAGCAATTGAGTTTTGAGACAGGAGTTGTTCCTATTTAAGAATCTAGACTAAATCTGAAGTGATTAGGTGAGTCCTCGGAGCTATCACAGTGATCTCAGCGCTTCATGGTTATAGTCATCTTTGGCTTCTTTTGGTTCTTTTGTTTGTTTGTGTTTTGGGGTTGTTTTTGTTTTTGTTTGGACTTAGAACTTTGCAGATCCAAAGTGAAGTCCTCTTCAGTGCCACTTTAAACCCTAATTCTAACAGAAATTGAGCAGCTAAAAGTTCTTGATTCAGTACTACAGACCAATAGAAAACTGTAGGCTCAGATTTGGAGACTGGCTCCGGAAGACACTCTGTTCTCATTCATCAGTCAGTTTAGATACCCAAAATAATTAAGTAAATTGGTAATAAGGTAATTAACATGAACTTTCTGTAGGCAAGGCATTCTGTGGGACATTTTGGAGGTGATGACAAGACACGAAGTGTCACATTTTTAACTTCTGAAGGAATAGTATAAGTAATCCATGCTGTAGGATTTTAGAGCGAGTGTACTGACTAGGAATGCTTCATGAAGAAAGTAGTAGTTAAACAGGGCCTTGAATTTTGGGGTTTAGATCTACAGACAGTTTGCAGTTTAGATCTGCAGAAAGTTTGTTGGGATGTAGATCGATAGAAGGGTTTTGGCAGTTTTGCAGGTTTAGAAAATGGCATAAGGAAAGGCACATTGAATAATATGCTTGGAGGGTCTAGGAATTGGAAAGTAGGCATATTTGAACTAAAAGGCACTCAGGGCTGGATTTTAAAGGACATTTAATCGAGGTACAGGCGTTGGATTTTATTTTTCATGCCAGTGAAAGTTTTTCAGGAGAGGACTAACTGGAGTGGTTTGTTTGCTTGCTTGTTTTTAGAGAAAACTTATCTAACTACATTCTACTACAACATTGTGACGTCTAACTGCATTCTACTACCTGGTCTTTGAGGCTAAAGACCTGGTGTTTTTATCCCATGCAATAGGAAGAGTATCTGGCCCTAAATGAGCTTGTTGAGTGGAAATGTTGGATTTAAGAGAGGAAAGATTATAAGCTCCTTGATGGCAAGCACTATGTTTTATAGGCCTTTCTGTAGGGAAATAAATACATGCATGAAGACTTGAAGTAACAAAGGAAGACAGTAGTTGGACAAAAATGAGTAGCACAGGTAGAATATAGGGGTTCAGAAAAGGGAGAAATCCATGTAGGCATGTGGCAAGGATAGCTAGCATTAAAAGGGTTTGAGAGAGCTAGTTCAGACAGATGATTTGCCTTTTCATTATGGAAATTTTCTAACTTACACAGAGAGAAGACATTGAACCACTATGTATTCATCATCTTACTTCAACGATTATCCATTTGCTAAAGTTAAAAAAAAAAGTTTCTACTTTCCTTTTGTTTTCTATAGTAATTTAAAGCAAATCCAAAGCTTTATGTTATTTCTCTCTCATAGAATAGGCATTTAGAGTATAGATGTATTTTAGTCAAGGAAATGCTAAAGAAAAATCTTATTTAATTCCCCACTGTAAATGCACAAGAATCTCAAATGAGAAAATCTCCCTTGTAAACTAAAAGCTGTTGGTA